TCACGTTTTCCTGCGACCGCACTGTTCGCACAGTCGTGAAAAATCGAAACGCGCCGGGAATCCACCTTCAATCGCGGTAATTACGCCGTCAAAGTGCGCAAACATTCCATCATCGGTTTTGTGGGATCGCGTATTAATATTGTCAATATTAATATTGTATATATTGATATTGTATATATTAATAATACAATGATAATAGTTAATTTAAATTTGGATGTTTTATTGTAAACGTTACTTTCATCTGGAAGCAACTGTTAAGTCATATAAAAATGCGAACGTTTCTATCGCTTGTCGGATTTGTTTTCGAAATTGACGAATTTATTCATATAATAAAAACTTGGTATTTATGATATTGACGTTGTCAGGTTGTCAGGTTGTCGAACAGTGCAGCACGCGGGGATCACGTAAAATGCAGCGTAGATTTATGTAGTGCCGTATCATCGCGATAAGAAGCAAAAAACATCGCTGCACACGAAGTATAAGCGACGACGCGACGGTGCGGTCGGTGTGAACTATATAAAACGCATAAATTTGTCCGTCGCCTGTAATAAATCATCCAGTCAAACGGCAGTGAAACAATATCTGTTTGTTATTAAAATTATTCGAGCGCATGATGAACATTCGTCGTCACGTATAATCGGATCGAACGGCACGGAAATGTGTCTTGCAAATCGGTGCATAAGTTTACAGTGTTGTTAATTTCCACGCGAGCGTCAGGATGGCATCAAAAGGGTCCATGCATGATGCAGATCAATGATTGCCAGCATGGTTAATCGGACCCGGAAAATGGTAATTAACGAAAATGGTTTCAGATTACGACGCACTTGGTTGAACACTTGCGCTCGCGTTTCACATGATTTACGACGAACTTAAACCCTTTGACGGTTCCGGAACACGCTCGTTTATCGTTATCGCAACTTCCGTCATGCGGTTGCTTAGAGATACTCAAGGAAAGGGCGATTCTAATCAATTCAAAAAGGAAATGTTGTTTAACTGTTTAATTCTACTGATTATGGGACAAGATCATTGAGATTGGAATTATATAATATTATATTGCAAGTTTTATGAATTTGTTATAAACGTATATATCGAAAAGTAATATAGAATAAAAAATATAACAATGTATGATCTTATAATTTAAATAAAAATAAAGATCTATTTTTATAAACAAAGTTTATTTTAATTCAAAAGGAGAGCAATGAACTCTAGCTGTACAGACTTGTTTTTTGTACCCTAGATATACACCCTGGGATATTCCTGGGACCCCATCCATATTTGTTAACTTCTGTTAAAATGGATATATTTCAATAATTCTTTTTTCAATCAATGGAGAATTGATTAAGGAACGAGCCTATAAAAGTGTAAAAGTCGACAGAATTAAGGAACTTTGAGATATGTAGGTTCAAAGAAAAAGAAAAATTTGGAAACGCGAAAAAAATCTCGATTTAGAAAGTTGCGCTGGAATCCCGGAGACCTCACTGTATACAGCTAGGATTAATACCGAAATTACAGCTAAAAATTGTTAAATTAATCTAAATCGCACATGAAATTCAGCCACACGAATGCAGATCACTTAATCAACGGCGGTACAGAATCATCAAACAAGTTCGATAACCGCAGCTGATACCGTATTGTACAGTGCGTGAAAGTGCGGATTCCCCCACTTCGTCGTATTTCGTCCTATTTCGTCTCACACAATTAATTAGCGCTGCAGTATAATCGCGTCGCTAATAGCCGAATAATTCTCGCGCGGACATAATTGTCGTGGCGCATCGGATCGTTGATGGGCTGCACTCGTATCGACGAGCGCATCGCTGACGAATGCACGGCTCGTTGCTGCAGCGATGCTGTGTTGAGTTCAGAGGAGCGAGAAGAAGGGGGAGGTTTAACAGAATAGCATAATTCCAATGCGATTAATTTGCGATCACCGCAATATGCATCGGGCATCGCATTGCGTGCGTCAAATTTGCGCGCGGCGGATTGTCTCGATACACGCGGCCGGTGCAGGCACATCGGAATGCGTCCAGGGGTGCATTCCGATTTGAGTGCGTGCACGCAAGAGAGAGAGAGAGAGAGAGAGAGAGAATGTAGAGGTACGGATCCTTTCGCCTTCCGTACTGTCCGTTTGTGTTGCAACACGATCGGAATGTCAAATACGTAGATGGATAATTGCAATAATAACCTGTACGAGGCCTTTAACTATATATTGCGTGAAACGAGATGCATTCTAAAAAACTTGTAACGTGCCGACGTTGTTGAAAATCACGATAGCTCCTGATGTTGGCGATTTCGGAAAGAATTGATCGTTACATGCCTTTCGTTTCGTGATTACGTAGTGACTTTGATATCTGATCTTACGGCGAGAATGAATCTTTTATGTCCGTTTTTCAATCATCTATACTGTTAATATAATGTAGATAATTATAATCTCGGTTCAATTAACTCTTCATCTTTTTCTAGTTATAAGAATTGGAAAATGATGAAGAGTAAGTTGAACCAAGTTAATCTATATTGATAGAAACTAGACACGAACATTAATCTGTTAATACATTTTTAATTTTCGTTGAAATACGAAGTTGTATTGTAGTATGCAAGATAATAAGAGATTTGTAATGTCAATTACGTGATTATCGATATCATTATGATGTTACTTATATGAACCATGACATTGTTACAAATCTATCAATTTACATTATTTAGCTCAAAGTATTTCGCTGAATCATGTTACTTTAATCGTAATTGTACGTACACGAATGCGCTGATCCGAGTATACGCAATGCGTACTACGAGAACGTGTCTCTAGCATATTATCCTACGGCTTAGTTGGCTTTTGATCCGATTAAAATGGTTTTGCACTCCAATGGATCATGCATAATTGCATTGCGCGATCGTGCACGTGAAGGACCTTTGGTGGCTGCTCTCCTAAAGGAAATCCGTAATATTTTATTAGGCGCACAATCGCTTGGAAATCATATTAATCATACAGAAATTTTTATACTGCTCATATAATTAATTTGCTTGTGTTTGATAGAGATTTTTTTAACCAGGAACACAATCGTCACATTCAAATTTTATTTTTTGTATACACGATTAAAAATATTCTTTGCAATACATTCTCGGGCATAAACTTATTTATGTTCGTGTATAAACTTATTTGTGCATAAATTTATTTAGTGAATGATTTTTTAAATAACGCAAAAATGAGAGTGAAAAGGAATGTACTCGGTCAAGGCAGGTCTAGATGCCTAATAGTATTTTTGTGTGAATTTTTTACATTTTCCAATTCAAACAAATTATGCGTCGATTATTATTAGCGTTATTACCGGTCTTGAAGATAGTTTAGAGTGATTAAAACTGAAATACATAACATCACAAATTGAACAATTAATCTAATGTTACTGATCCTAATAAATATTGATATTGTAAAGAATTGGCATGCGGAAATGAAAATTGTAAAAAATTTACATAAACATAAGTATCAAGATTTGCTTTGATCGAATATGGTCCTCTTCATTCATTTGTACTAAATATTTCGCGGTTTTCCATTTTCACTTAATATTATTTTCACTTAATATTATTTTTAAATGTTATTTTCTTTCTTCGTTTTTTTTGTTTGTGGTGATAAAATTTATTTTTCACTTTTTTTATTTATTTTGACTTATTTTAATATACTTTAATTTTAACATGTAATTTTAAAAACATGGCGATAGCCGATACTGACATGGCCGATTTTTGTTTATTATCCCGTCATTATAGAATATTAAAACGATGTCACGTGCCAACAAAGTCCAAAATTAATTGGATGACGGTCGTTTAATACGCTCGAGTTCCGGTAACGAACTTCTTTGCCAGGCCAACATCATGCTTGTCAGAATTTTCCACGTACATTGAAAACTTATAACAAGATAAAGTTTTCATGGAATTAATAAAATAAATAAACATCTTTGAAACACCATTTGTCGGACTCTGCCTGTCCTGTCTTCAATTGCATGTAGCTTTGAGATATCAATATTACGAGATATTTCACTTAACTGTGTCAGTTGAGCGAAACATCGAAAAACCATTCTAGTTTCCTTCGAGGTATATCGCCTATATTCATCAGAAATTTTCCATTATCCTGCATGCCACATGCTACACAAACAAATACATCCTTCAATGAAAACTATAGAAATATAGTGATTCGATTCTTTTGTTCTCGCAATAACTGACCGTCATTGATCGAGGCACTGCACAACCTAATCTGCTCTCATATAAGGTCTTAGAATCAATTAATCGTTTAACCTTTCTCTGTCATGCAGAGGTTTAAATCATCTCGCGCAATTATAGAATTTTGGGTTTTGCGTCATCAACATCGTCATTGACTCTCGTCAGAAAAATTTAATCTTTCATCAAGATTAGATTCTTCGAAGTTCTATTATATAATTCTCATAATATCTACACTTATCCCTTATACTTGTGATCACCTTTCGATTTTGATTGTCCCTTTTCGACTAGTGTTCCACTGAAGATCGATTACTCTCCAGCTGGAGATCGCAAAAAGATTATCAGATTTGACCCTCTTACCGGAGATATCTTTCTAAAAACCGCAGGAAAACCGACGCGCAGATTTCCCTTACAAACAACTCATCAAATTTTCTGCGTGCCAGAGAGCCGAAGATTTGGTTAAAAAGTCGGAAAAACATATTTGTGATCCGTGCTTAATTCTAACACTATTTACAAAATTTAGAACTCCTTAATATCCGTTTTCACAATTTAAAGAAACAGATTAACTTTAATCTCAGTTCAACTTACTTTTTATCTTTTTCCAGTTTTAAAAATTAGAAAAAGATGAAGAATAAGTTGAACCGAGATTAAAATTAATACGTTGGCGGAAACAAGCATAAATGAGGATAAATATAATTTATACGAAAATGTATTATATTTATACAAATATAAAAATTGCAGAGAGAGAGAGAGAGAGAGAGAGAATAAATACTAAGTGCGCATGTTTATGTTTTCAGGTGAATGGCGACGATGAGTGGGACTATGAGGACATTATTTTGGAGCGGGGCGGGGCGGGCCTAGGTTTCAGCATTGCCGGCGGCACAGACAATCCCCATTACGGCAACGACACCGCCATTTACATCACTAAGCTTATACCGGGCGGTGCCGCGTCCGCGGACGGTCGGCTACGTGTCAACGACACGATACTGCAGGTGAACGACGTATCCGTTGTCGACGTACCGCATGCGGCCGCCGTAGACGCACTCAAGCGGGCCGGCAACACCGTCAAACTGGTAAGCTTCACCCTCTACTCTCCAATCTCGGTGCACCGATACAAGCCCGTTTACAGGTTACTTGTTCCTATCGCAGCAGATTGCTTTGTTGCATTGACGTGCCTTTACAAGCTCAATATCACGTAATTTAACACAACGTTCATGTCGATAAGGTAACATTTTAATTAAACGAAATGTTAATTATTTAACTTTTCGTGGTCAGACACGCAAATTTCACCCCAAAGAAGCTTTTAAGACTATATCTCCAAATTCTTATTTCAAAATAGAAGTTGACGTGTCGTTTACCTGAAATTTAAGGTTCTCAGCGCGTCAATATGCATGTAGTAGCTGTTCACGTAATATCGTTTTAGCGTTGGAATCATTTTAACATCAATCGTGAAATATTATACTATTTTTTCTGAAAATACCAAATCTGTAGAATATAGAAATAAATTTTTTGTTAAAAAAAAAATTAAAAATATTTTTCTCTTAAATTTATTTTTCAAAGAACGTATACGCAATTTTTTTTTTAATAGGTTAAAATTAAAATCTTTACAAAGCCACTGTATTTTTATGTTCTACAATATTTAAAGTATATTCAGCAATTTTTTTTTATTCCAAAGAACAAAAACTATGAATACAGCAACTAGGGTTAAATGCGCACAAGGGGCATTTTGCCCTGGTGTGACCATTAAATTTTCGAGAAGTATCACAAATGGTATATCACAAATGGTTAAGAAAATACAAATATTTTTTTGATTTGTTGACAATAAAAAATGCCGGGATATTCGGATCAAAATATTGTAAGGAAAGATGCAACTAACTAATGATAAATTCCAACTGACGCATTAAAGATGCTGGGCATGCCCTGAGCAAACTGATGTATGCAAATCTCAAATTCGAATTTAATTGAATCGTATCCGCAGTGCAATGGCAACACATTGTTACTGTGATCACATGGCATATCATATGCACATCTCAAGTGCGCAGATTTAATTGCGCGACGAATGTGTCAGGAATAATTGAATTGCAAATGCTGTAATGCGTATGCTTTCTGCTGTTAAACTCACCTGCGTATGCATATTCAATTTCTCAGTTACCTACCAATAGTTACTAGTCGAATGTTTAATTAACTGTATATTAAGCAATGTCGTTATCGTGTATTATCAGTGTTTATTTATATATTCATTCTAATTTGCTGAAAATTAAGATTAAAACGATATTTCATGCACCGTTTGTCAGACTCATTGATGTTAAATCGATAATATTTTAATTGCTTTCATTATTATGTTGTTTTCTGCTTCGAACTTCCTATTTTTTCATCGATATATCAGCGATCTTTTCAGTTTAACGGCGACATTTCGAGTCCCAGAAAGTTCCGCGGGATTGACGACTCTCTCCGAGTTCCATATTTGTCATAAAGACGCGTCGAATATCTTCGGCTTATGTCTAAGAAAAGTCCCGAAGCGACTATCATTCACCCGGGCCTTCCGAAATTCCTATAGCTTGGCAAATTCGTCAAGGAATGAGGGAAAGTTTCGATGGGATCGTTCGTTACATGCCTCTCGGATATACATTAATGTCAGTCTTAAAAAAAAAAAAATTCCCAGACAGATTGTTGTATCTTCCTTTTTCAGGGAAGAAGGCCGATGTTGAACATAAAAATCGCGAAGATAGTTAAGAAAACTTAACCAATTGAATACTTTTCTCGAAGATAGACTGATGGTTTTTAAAAAAAATTTCGATAAATAATATTAGCTCTAAATTATTTCGGAAAGAAACAACTTTTTCGCGGATTGTCAGATGTTTGAAGGTACTTGAGAGATGATCAACACGTTATTAACCTTCCCAGGCTGGAAATAACAATGAGGAAGACATAAAAGCTTTATGGCCGGACCATTCTAGACATTATTATTCTGACATGAAGTCGCAGGTCGCAAGCAATTTCGATTTTATAATTTCGATTTATGGATGACAATTTAATTTAATTTAAAATTAAATGAAATACTGCATCAAATGCGAATTTTGATCCAATAGAAGTCGTTATATTTTATTTACTAAATTAATACAATTTAAAAATGAACATGTAATCGAAATAACACTTTATTTATACAAATATTAAAAATATTTATTAAAAATTACCTTATTCTTTTTTATCAAATTACTTTTATTTTATATAATTATTTTATAGAATCAATGATTATAAATGATAACAGAAAAGATACTTTTCGAATATTTTAATTTTAATAAATATTTTTAATATTTGCATCATGATGAAGTATATCAATCGGCAATCGAAACATCTTTTTTTTTCAATGCTTTCCCTGTGTAAAGTTTATAATTAACCACTTTAAGTAACGATATAAACGGGTCCTTAAGGAGAATGGCGGTGAGCAGGAACAAATCTACTTTATAAATCTCACCGAGTAAACGAGAGTAGTTTGAAAGAGGATATATCTCTCCGATCAGCTATCGGGCGGGCATTTAATTACGTGGAGATTCATTGTTACACCGGGAATGAAAAAGCGCGCGAAGTTTTTTTTAAACGCTCCTCAGCTGAAAGCGACGTCGCTTAAAATTTGAACTTTGTAGAATTTTACTCGTTGATCGAGCATTCGCGATGCCTTCATTCAAGCCTTCCCCCTTCTTTCCTATATTCAATTAACGTCTTGTTCGCCCATTGATTTTCAGTATGTACGCCGACGGAAACACACGCAGTTGATGGAGATCGAGCTGATCAAGGGTAACAAGGGCCTTGGCTTCAGCATCGCCGGTGGTATCGGCAATCAACATATACCAGGTGACAATGGAATCTACGTGACCAAAATCATGGACGGTGGGGCCGCCCAAGTGGATGGTCGCCTCGTTGTCGGCGATAAATTGGTAGCCGTCAGGAATGCTCTGGTAAGTAAACATACATACGTACCAAGTTCGGCTTTTGCGTCGTGTTTCTTTCATCGAAATATCGGCGTAATAGTCGGCTTAATGGAGATATCGTATCTTTTTATGGATTACATTATGATTATAAAGACAAGACAGGCGTTGAATTGCACGTAACATCGCACAATAAATATTTCAAAGTCAAAGCGTTGTAAGCTCGTCTATAAATGTCGAAAAACATGAACATTTGTAACCGAAATGTGATACGTGTTCATAGAAAAATGAAACTGTGATTATTTTTTCATTCTAACAAAGAGCAATTGTGGAACCATCCATTGTAAATGCAATATTTCTTTCTTCTCTTTTTCTCTCTTGAAAAGATAAACATAGTATAGATAGATCGTATTTTTTGAAGCTCATCCATAATTAATCACGATCCTATCTCGCGATAACAATCGTTTTAAAAAATGAGATTCTTTATAACGCATATATTACACATTATACATATATCATTTATTAAATTACTTCTAAATGACTTCTTTTAGTGCAACAACTAAAAAAACGTGATTTTCGTGTTATTATTTTGAATAAGTTAAATAAATATTACCCTATTAATCATCAAAAGTAAACTAACTTAAACAATAATGAGTTATACAAAATTGATATATGAATAAATCAAATAAGAAAATGCCAAATACAGTTAATTATGTAAACTGCAATTACTATTGGATTTGAAATACAAACTGAATTTAATTTGTAATAATATTGCAAATTAAATTAACTGATTTGATAATAATGCTATTAGCACATTAAAATACTGTAAAAAATTTGTCGCGAAAATTAAATGCCCTTACTTAGCGTTTTTCTATTTATTTGAAGAATTAACTTGATAAAAAAATCATCAAAGTCGTCACACCTTATAAAAGTTAATTTTTTAAGAAGTATAAAACAAAAATGACAAATATAACGTTTGCTCATGTTAAGAATATCTTTTGCTAATACTTTTAGCTAATAATTTTTTACCGAATTGTGAAATAATTTTCCTCCTTTTTTTTGGGAAACTTAATTTTTTTAGTTACATCACTTTTAAAGTAAAGAAACGATATGTTAAGTGGAATAAAATATTACACTGTATTACTCGTATAAAACATATCTAGACTGCGAGGCAGTTTTGGGACGTTGTCGTAAATTGGGAAAATTTTCATGCCGATCTTACAAAAGAGATCCCGTCTTTATAATCTTTAAAATTTTATGGTAACGATCAATGGAACTTATGACAAGTTTCATGGAATCGCACGAAATATCGAGAATATATAAAGATAAGACTTTTGACTGCTCTTCTTCGATGACGTCTGAATACCTTCTTATCTTGAATCTTCTTCGATTTCAGAATGCAATTCAAAACACAAATAAAAGAGCATTCTTCATTTCGAAGGCGTAGAAAATAAATTCGCGATCGGAAAACGCATATATAAATTGCCATGAAAAAGAGAGTTGTACCTCCAACAGTCTGGAGAGCCATTTCGAGTTTTATAATTACTCCCGAAAACTTCGCTTACGCGCGCCAAAACTAATTACCGTACGATCGATAATTACTTTGCCACGCGGGAGAATAAAACGTAGACGGCAAGAAAGTTCCCGGACACTGTCGTAAACAACTGATTGCGAGTAAATTTCCATGCCGAAAATTTAATTGAGTCTCGATCTATTCTTTTCATTTTTTTCGCCATTATAAATTTTAAAATTTTATAATTCGGTGAAAGAACTGCAGTCTCACTCGTGACACGAATTCTGTGGGACTGTTAAAAATATATCTAAAGTATTTTTGACAGTCTCAAGGAACATGCCACGAATTTTTTTTCATTAAATTATAAAATCTTAAATTTAAAATTAAAAAGATTCTGCCTTTCTCCTTTCTTATATCTTACACTGATAATAAATTCTCACTCTCTCTCTCTCCCTCTCTCTCTCTCTCTCTCTGTTTGTCTCCTTCTCTCTCTCTCTTTTAAGAAAGAGAATGAATCAGTACTCAATTGAATATTTCCAAAATTTTTTTTTTCTTAATAAATCAAATACATAATTTTAAATTCTCTATTTTATTTTTATTAAAAGTTAAAGATAATTTGTCTTGATATTTAGTGTCTTATTTTTCTGCTTATTTGTTATGTTATATCAACATCATAATTTGTGAAAAATGAAAAAAAAAACATTTTTGTAATTAATTATACGCAAGTATGTCTAAAAATGGAAAAAATCGGCGCTCCAATCTCGATATTAGCTTGACTACCGATTATCACCTTTAAAAGATAGCAAAGGCAAGCCTTTCAACGCACTTTTATACCATAAAGAGAAAAAGAGAAAGCGCCTTTCCATCATATGCGCGTATTCTGCACTTCACCCTCCGGCGACAGTCATAAATCAAACCGGCTGTTCAGCGGCTTTAATCGACGCTTTTTTTTATTCTACTCCCAGATGGGTGCCTTAAAGGTGGTGAAATCGCTGAAGCGAAAAATCGTAGACTAGCGGAGGTCGACTTGCCATCGACGGAAGCTGTATATCGCTGACGGAAGAGCTATCAATTACTTCGACGGCGTCTTGGAAAACCGCCCTAATCTACTTTTCCTATCCGTGCTGATTCTTAGAGAATGAGATGTTTAACCTCATTCACCGATTATCACTTAAAAATATAAAATCTGTTCCATATATTTTGATTAATTATCGCATATATATATATATATATATATATATATCTATATTTTATATATGCGTCATATACGTTAAAATAAAGAAAGAACTAAATAAAGAGAAATAAAGGAAAAAGTATTCTGTGCTTTAATTAAAGAAAAAAAATTTAATGGTGTGATGCAATATTTCTAATTTCTTAATTAATTAATTTGTTACATTAAACTAATGAAGATTAAATCTTATCACACAGAGAATTAAGACATATTATATTTGTTATTCATTGTTTAGTTTACGAACGGATTAAAAATCTACTAGAATGCATTGCACATATTGGTCTTTCAATGCGTATCGATAATAATCGCGACCGATTGTCTCTTATGTTTCTATTAATGTAGATTAACTTTAATCCCGGTTCAATTTGCTATCTTTTTTTTCATTCTTAAAATTAGAAAAAGATGAAGAGTTAATTGAACTAAGATTATTTAAATTACATTGGTAGAAGCGAGCATTAGAAGAAAGACAATCGTAGTGGACAAAACAAGGAAAGAAATTGAAGAAGATGAGACTACAAGTTAAGATAGAGGAAATTGAATAAGGAAAATCAATTATGGTAGGATATCGCAGTTCATGACGTCATCAGCGAATTGTTTGTATACCGCTCGTCTATATCAAGTTGTCTTAGAAATAGTATCTTCCCTTAAGAGAGAAGAGGGTTAGTTGCTTGATAAACAGAAGAGAAAAGTGAGACATTTCCCTGAGAGCAATATCCGCATGAGTAATGAATAAAACGTGCAGGGAATTAATGTAGATGCTATAACGTAAACGACCCAATGAGTGGACTTGTATATCCGAACACAAGATTTATTATTATTAATCTCAAACGTTTCTTTTTTATTACAATATTAATTTAATTGTATTTAAAGATTATTTATAAAAGCATTTGAGATTAATAATAATATAAACAAATAAATTTTTGTATAAATAATCCGCTCACTGGAACATTTATTTTAATCGTAAAAAATGCATCTCGTTCATATTTCATTTGTATTCTATTTCGCGATACGATTTTATACGTAAATGCTAACAACAGTTTCTAGCAGTTCATTCTATATGTATATACATCGTTAACGATGTAATGTATTTCAAATTTTGATCTATGCAAAGAAATAGACGGTGGGGTTTCAAATAATTGTCTTCGATTATCGACTAGTCAATATTAAATCATACGATTGAAGAAGAGCACATATTGGTTTCAGCAGGGCGATAAAAATTTGGAAAATGTGACACACGAAGAGGCAGTGGCGACCCTAAAAGCAACTCAAGATCGCGTCGTACTTTTGGTTTCCAAGACGGAAGGTGGAATCATCCCTCCACCTCCTCCTCCAATAGCGACGGATAATTCTCTCTCACCTCAGCCACGTAAGTCAAATCAAATTTTCAAATTTTCTTAATTTTTTGCATATACCGTTTAACAAAATCAAAGCATCACAAAAAATTAATAGATAGTGATTTCATTAATTAACATTTTATTAGATGTATAAATAAGCTAACTTACAGTCAACTTACAGTCAACTTTAGATGACTAACGACGGTGTATTTAAATTTTCGTGCCGAAGTATTTTTTCATTAGTAAAGTTAATTAACCTGCACTTCAAAAGTTATGCAACAATTCGCAGTTAGATAATTAAGGGAATTCTAAGTAACAGAATTATCGACATTATAAATTAGAAAGTTTTCCGAATTGGCTGTACAGAATGTTAAATTCTTTTATACAATTAAAATACTCACAAAAGGAATGGTCGATTTAACGAGAAAATCGGAAAAAAGTTAACAAAACTATATTTGCCTAGTATCATTGCAATTTTTTAACTTTTTTCGATTTTCTGGTTAAATCGACTGTTTCGTATCTTTTTTGTGAGTATTTAATTACGTAAAAGAATTTTGGAACCTGCAGCCAATTCGGAGAGCTTTTTAATTTTAATACCGATAATTCTGTCACTTCAGGATCTCCCTTAAATATATTTAATTGAAAATGAGTTTAATTGAATAAATTAGTTAAAAATATGTTCATCATATTGCACGATTCACTATTTTCATTGTGGTAATGAAAAAAGGTGATTCGAACGGTAAATGTTTTCATTAAAATATCCCTACTGTTTCTTTTATATTTATATAATAGATGTGTATTTAAAAAAAATCACGAGAATTTATTTATACATTTCGAATCATTTTTTATACTTGAAATAGATGTCATAGATAAAATATAGTGCTCTAATTTATACTTCCTCAAGTTATTTATATTTCTGAATTCATTTATTTTTCTATAATATTAGATAACTACTTTTAAGATAGAACACACAGTGTAATATAAACGCTACGTAAACAATTTCGTTGACTATCAAACGACGAAATAAAATCACAGCGTGAAATCTGTGATTTTATTTCATCATCCGTGATTTACGTGACGGAAACGGCCGAAGATTCTTAGAGTCGTATGCGTTTTAATAACCGACTTTTCACAAGAAACGTCATTCTACCTCCGTCGTCGCATCTAATCGCATTTTTTGCCGCCACTTTTCCATCGTAAGATCTCGATCGAAGTAATAATTACATTCTATTAATTATTCAAACTTGTCTGCGCAACGTGAAATTCAAATCAACTGTGGCTCTCCTCCGCTGGCTGGAAATAAACGCGGATAAATCCTTACGATTTCCGCGCGTCGAGAGGTGCGGAAATGAATTTTTGATCCGCGAGTCTTTCCCATCATTCGGACTTTTACTGACGATCAGGTCGTAACTTATTCATCAGTAGTAGAACGTCGTAAAACGGAGCTCGTAAAACTCATCCCGAAACGCACGCGGACGTCTTACCTTCCTTTCTCGTTTATCGCGAATGCGGTGCATCGCGCGTCGAAAATGTCCGATTGAAGAACTCTTGAGAATGTGAGTATTAAAATTCCATGTGCCGCTATGTCGAAAAATAATTCCGTCGGTTTTTCTTGTGAATTAACAAAGTTTTTTTAAATTATTATGCACAAAATTAGCAATCGTAGATTAAGAAATCGATTATTATTTTGGAACAGCAGCTTTTCTCTTTATCGTTGCACGAAAGGTGAAAGACCGTTTTTCGAGATATTAAAGATACATAGAGCTGCCCGTCGTGGCTATATTTTTATCTCAGTAATATTTCCGTATTTATTTTTCTACAAACGGGAAAAACAGCATAGTACAAACGCTATAGTTCTCAACTTCGATGTGAAAGAGAAAAAGCGGACTCGACGGTGGCGGTTTCGTGCCGACTGAATTCAAATTGCCCCTTTAATGCTGCGGCATATCGGTGCCCCGCGGGATTATCCGAATATTTGCTTTAATCTCCAGACGCAACCGGGAGTTTCTCGGAGAAGCCACCTTGACGCGAATAAACAAGTCCGCTCTAGATTGAGATCGCTATTTTCTATCTCGATGTAGGTACTATTTAAGTTTTTTTATGTAATACTTGCAGAAAAATAAATAAAATTTCCACTTGCAATACAATATCGTAATAATAAATTATAATTTTTTATTATTAAAATAAATAAAACTACATACGTATGGCATACATATCGATAAATTTAAAGGAGAGAATTATATATAATTTAAGTTTATTTTTTATTTCTAGGCACTATATTATTTAAACTAATAACTATATTTAAGCATTACAAGCATGCACTAGAATTAATAAAAAAATTTTTTTAACTAATTTAATATATGTATTTTTGTATCAGAAAATAAAAATATTATTTTTTACTAATATTAGTAAAAAAATTAATATTAATATATGATACAAACAAAAAGGAAGATAAGCATAATCACAATAAATCGATTGTAGCATTGACATTTGTCATTATCATCTCATTATTATGTATCATATATTAATTGTTATATATTAAACAATAAGAGCAATTTATTATATATTATTTTACAATATAAAATATATATGTTTTAAGGATAAAATCGTGCATTTAAAATTTTATATATATATATATATAATTAATTATTAATAATAAATAATTCTAGTATGAAAATAAAGAGCATATATGAGTGAATGTTTATTTATACTCGAATAGATTTAATATCCGTATTTATATTACGTACAATGAAATAACATCAGAAATAGAAAACATTGGAAGGATTTGTTGATGATTTTTCATGTATAATAACAGACGATGTTTCTAATTTTTTGTTTGATAGGTAAGCAAAACGGCTCCGTGTCCGCGATAGAAAACAACACCGCGGCTTTACCATACTCGCAGGAATCACGCCACGCGTCATCTCTTGCTCTGCACGGTACCGGGACACCACGGGCAGTTTCCCAGGAGGATGTGTCACGGTGAGTCTCTCTCTCTCTCTTTTTACTATTTTTTAGAAACTGCGAGTGCGGCCGCTTCTGGTCAACATCTTGCAGTCCTTTTACGAAGATTGCGGTACGCCATATCCGCCACCGATCCTCTCTCGCGAACATAAAACAGGTCTCGTTCGCTGGTCACGTCCGATACTTTCGGGATGCACCGAGCGCTTTGCCCTCTCACAATCCGTTCGTTCGTACGTGATTTAATTTAATGCCGCCGTTGCGCGTTACATGACCGGCTCGTTTTATATTACTATACTGTTTTCTCGATAATAACGCGAGTTTGCAAACTCAAAAACGCGCCGTTGAAATAGGCTATTTGTTCGCGATTTCTTGTTGTCGATTTATTGAACTGAACCCGTCGACCAATCGTGCAAAACGCGGTACTAATTTCAAAAGTAAACCGAGTGAAATGGATAAACTGTATCGAATGGGTGTTTCCGAGGGGTCGATGAGCAACGTGAACCCGATGGAGGGTAAAGAGCTTGCGGTAGAACCGGTGCGCACAAGCTAATTGCCGATGGATTAAGGGCTTATCGAATTGGCCCGACTATACCATGGAGGTGGGATTGGTCCGGACACATTATGTACCTCTGCTGGAAGCTTACTCACGCCAGTTCGGTTCCTCCTATTGACCTGTCCGTTCGTTGTTAACCCCTTTCGAATGCTACTGCGAGACTCCAATATCGCCGTGTTCCCGGGACTGTCCAGGTTAAGGTCGTCACTGAACATCGCGCGAATGGAATAGAAGATCAAATAAAGCGGGAATGAACTTAGACCGATGTCGAATTATCTCTTGAAATCTTTCGATCGATTTTGATGAATCTTAGTCTCTTTCTTTATTTCACATGTCTTAAATTTATCTTTTTATATCGCTTTGCTTTAATGATACGTTTTACGACAGATTTAATTAATAAATAATTGTAGAGAGAGATTAATTAACAAGATCTATTTATTCAATTTTAATTTAAAAGCAAAATGATAAAAGCTAGGGAAATTATATGTCCTATTTTTATTAACCTTCTTAATCCTCTAGAGATGACGTCTTTTCTTGTCGTTAAAAAGAAATTTCTTTACTAATTTTTCTTAAAATTATCTTGTAAGTGAAGAATCTATCGATACATATTCCACGTATATCAATGTATAACGTTTTTAATAATTAAAAGTATATTATATTTCACTATTTAGTGCTGCATATATTCATTTTCAGTTCTTTTGCATATTTTTCATTTTCAGTTCTTAAGTGTAACTAATCTGTATAGAATGTATCCCGAATTTAATTTTAAACTGAACATTGCAAATATGCATTTATCCGTAGAGAATTAAGAACAAATTATTTTGTGATGTAATACAGAGACTATTTTCTTTATAAAAATATCTAACAAGTACACTAATTTGTTAGCAGTCATAATTAAAAATTGTTTACAAAGTAAACTTTAAGAATAGATTAGCGAATAGATAACGAAATATATCTTGTAATAAATTTTAAATAGACTTTGCTCTTATAAAATTTGTATTTAAGTTCTAATTATGAAGAAATATAATATTAGGAACAAATCATGAAAAATGATAAATTCAAATTGCATCAAAAATTTTTTTTTAAAAGGTTTTACGATAACAAAATATTCTATAGAAGTTATATAGAATATTCTATTATTATGTTATTTAAAAAAATTTTATATTCGCGCCTTCTTATTTTTACAATTGAGTAATTCTTCAATTTTGTTGAAGAGAGTGTAATTTGATATATGTATACATATATATAAAATAGCCATAGGAATATTAAAAATGATATACATATTTAAATATATATATATATTTAAAACGGTTTGAGAAAATTTTCTATATATGATGCACGTAATATATAAATTCATTTTAATATTAGGTCAAGAAAAATGTTTCTTTGTATTTAAAAAAATTTTTTTGCAAAAGTTTTTCATTTGTTGCGATTTTTGTTATGATTATATCATTCGCTAGAGCAAAGTTTCAGCTTTAAGAATCTATTTTTTAAATTGCGGTATGATGATTTTTATCAGAGTTATGAGCAATCGAAGTCAGAGAATGCTTCTTTACTTAACTCGCGAATAATTCAAGAAGAAAAAATCGTAACAACATTTTAAAAAAATGATTTTGTAGGAAAAGCTTCAAGCTTTCACAATGAGTAGTTGAAAATTTTCATAATTTTTTTTTGGACACATGAGAGATCCTTAAAGTGAAAAGAAAATTTTTTATCTTTTTCAGCTTTTTAAATGTAAAAATTACAAAATTCACAGAACCTCAAAAAATACAGTAACCTTTTTAAAGTAGAGATTTCAAACTTTAAAACTTTTTTAATTCTTTTTTTTTTTTAATTTAAATTTCGTTTATTTTTGACGAAAATATTGTATATACAATTTTGAATTAAAATATACGAAGAAACTTTTTCCCCAATCCAATATAATCTTCCATTATATAAATTCATTCCAATATATAAACTCATTTTAATATAATCTTCCATTTCTCCGCTCGAAGAATCCTATTGAAGAGAGTAGAATCTCCGTTTGATAAGCTATAGAAAGTTTGACTTTGATCGAGAAAGAGGAATTTAAAAATAGCGCGCAAGGAACAACTAATTGTACTCTACTCTTGACTTATATCTGCGCCAGATTGCTGGAAGTCATTCCGCAGTTAAACATTACCATGAATGGAATATTTCATTAAGCCGACCTGCCGCCATGAAAGTTTCGCACACCTGTGCGCTGTCGGACTCACTGTCCATTTATTCAGCTTTCCTAGCTGCATATAGACTCTATCGCTTGCATTATTTTCTGAATACACTATTCATTTGAATCCCATTCAACGTTTCTTCTTTTATTAATTTTCATTTTAACTAAATCATTGATCTTATGATAACGCCTGCCCAATGATTATTAAAGATCAAAGCATTCACTGCAAGCATTCTATTTAGTTAACATCACATTTAATTAAATCAAATTTAACAAATCTGAAAAGAGAAAATTAAAATTATGTAATTAAATATAAACATATAAAAAATTACATATATATAAGTTTTTTATATATGTTACATTCGATTTATATTTTATATTCAAATTTGATTATGTGGTTAATCATTGATTAAAAATTGCAAAGTGACGCATTCACGCGTTAATTCAACTTAATGACGTTTCATTATTGAAAAAAAAAGACTTTTCTCTCTGACATTCCTGTATTCTCGAGGCAGCGAATTTTACGCGAGACGTCGCCTCATGGAGAAATAATTCGCGTGTGCATGTCAAAGAGAAAAATATCACGAAAGAAACAAAGCCTGTCCGTACTCGGCGGACTTAATAATTTTTATCTCGTTTGATTGAAACAATTCCGGGCGTTGATTGGCAAACTCATCTTTGTTTTCCACGGCTTTGACGTGTACGCATTGCGGTTCGAAAAGTTCTCTTTGAATAAATTCTTATTCACGTTTTTATTTGCATGGTTCATCGAATACTTCTTGTCGATATCGCGTCGACTACGTCGAATACGCCGCAAAATGCAGATACATTTTTATTGTGCTCTGTATCGCGACGGATACTCGCGACACGTCCACAAATGCGCGTTTTTAATTATTCGAGCGTGTCCAAGAATACCACATTCTGAGTCGTTGTCTCAGTTACATATATGTATCGTGACTACATTATAAAAACTTCAATGCAGTTCGTTCATAGTTAGAATTTTGCTGTATTTATTCGTAATCTATAACACTTCCCGGAAATGGTTATAAATTCTTCTAATTTAAAGGATATCCTCTCTATGCTTTTTTAAGGGATTTGCTCAGGAATTCGATTGAGCCTTTAATACCTATTTCCACTAATGTAGATTAATCTTAATCTTGATTCAACCTATTCTTCATCTTTTTCTAATTCGTAGAACTATAGAAAAGATGTTTCAAATTGAACTGAGATTGAAGTTAATCCACTTGGATAGAAACGGTCATTCCGATCAAGTTGAACTTTGAAGGCACAATCGATTTTTTAATTGTAGATTTTGGAAAATTAGTTTAACTAAACAATTTCTGCAAAAGAAATAAGTAAATAAAATTCAATCCAACTTCTATGATAGTAAAAGCTCGACTTTAAAGCTTTCACAAGTACTTTTTCACATGTACTTTTAGATTTTTAAACAATTCGGAGCAATATAAAAATCTATACTGAGACTCTCAAAGACCTAAGTTGCTGATGGAGGTTCAAAATTCCATATACCTGATGGAGGGTTAATTATGTCTTTCTCGATACGAATAATACTACAATAATTAGTGCTATACCATTTCCTAGTGGTGTAATCCACTATTACATATGTATACGGATGAACACATTCGAGTGTGCATGTAATACGAGCGCACAGCTGCATCTCCGAAATGCAGGCCAAGGTCGTAGCTGGCCCGGGTCACGAACGAGCTACTGGATCCAACCAATCTCGCTTACGTGATGCGGCATCCTCCCTGCATCGATCTGTATGCGTCTCACTGTATTCTTGCTTAATACTGTCGACTTCTCATCGTCGTGATACTATTTACTTTCTTGTATTAGCAAAAATTTATTACGCCTGATTAACTGAAGATTACACTAAAAAAAAAAAAGATTTACTAAATCTTAATACATATTTTGTTAAATATATTGAGTAAACATTTATTTATAGTAAATACATATTTATTAAAGAATGATATTTAAATCAAATTTCATAGTTTTTGTATCCAATAAATATATATTTACATTTACTTAGAACTATTCAAAGAAATATTTATTAAGCTTTTTTTTAGTGTAGATAATTCTAAATAACAAAAAATCAATTTAAATGGAAAGTGTAAAAAACATTTAATTTCGCAATCTGATTAAATAATTCGATTTGTTCATTACGATGTATATTTAGCAACGTATTATCGTAATAAGCTCTCGTACAACTTTTTAAGTCTGCTTGCAGATTTCTTGAATTTCAAAGAGGAAAAGACTCCG